AATATGAACACAGTTTGGATTAAATAAAAGTACAGTCAAATTGTATCTCCTGTATAGACTTTACTGTACAATGACTTAATGTTTTCTAACGCGAGTTAGATCTAGTAACATCTTACAGTAATGAATGTTTTAAAAATATATTGTTCACTCAATGTTTGTGAATGTTATTTAATACAAACACTTGATCATTCATGTTTGTTCATTGTGCATTAAATCATTTTAAGAGCATTAGAATTAAGTTTCTTTATTAACTATTTAATGCTCCTATAACTTTTATTAGGGTAAAAAAAAACAGGAGGACATGATGATATTTACTATTTTTACACACCAGAGGCTTTTACATGAATTGTGAATCTAAAATATGCGTGTTAGAGAATGTACAATTGGTTAACATTGTTTGTGTCATATCAGTCAGAAGTTCTGGGCTTTTTTTTAAACATTTTTTAGCTAACTTAGTTGTTATTCTTGACTGAATAGCTCTAGGGTTTCAAAAGCCCTTTAAAATTAAATATGTACACATTTTGGATTAAATGAAAGTAGTAAAATTTTTTAATTAGCATGGTTTTGTGTTTTGCTTTGTTACCGAGAACCGTGGATTTTCACTGGTATTGGTACCGAATACTGAAATTTTGGTACCGTGACAACACTACCTTGTTCTTTTATTAAGCAAACTAAATAGCCTTAAGTTATTTATCTTATTTACACGACGGCATGTCATTTCGGTCTCTACGTTAAAGTACCGAATCGATAAGCAGTATTGGTAAGAGTAGTAATACCGTTAAAACCTTAACGATACCCATCCCTAGCCCTAAACATGTAATATTTGTGAAATTGTTAATAAATTGATGTTAAATTGTTTAAGTTTCATGATTTTAATTAATTAGACATGCTTTTTGATTAATAAAATGTAATTTAACCATTAAAAAGGAGTCCAGAAAAAGAAGGAAAAAAAAACCGGAAACCCCCAAAGCCATAAACCTAGGGGAAACACTTTACTCTGTTTATGTGGTAAGTGAAATTTTATGTACTGTAATATAACAGGCATTATGTAATGTCCGCAACCCATAAGTAAACTTCTCACACATTTCATGTTACATTATGGAGCCAGCATAATCTGAAATTATAGTTTGTAAATGGTTATGCAACGCTAACGTTATGCTAACTTGATGCTGACGTGTTGTATTAGTAGGAAAGCAATAGTTACGTAGATTACTGCATTCGGTTTTTGAAAAAAAAATTAATTAAAATTAATTACCATTCTGAAACATCCTGTTGTAACCACATATGATGAGGTGGTTGGTTGTCGCCTGTCGTCGCCGATTCGGGGTCTGAGTCCGGCTCAAACATGTAAGGCCGGAAAACATTTCCCTCAGCAGTGGCCATCATTAAAGGTGTTTCTATTTTTCTATTTGCCATAGCAGGCTACAGCATACATGACCCTAGTTACCTGTGGTTGGCCTGGCCGTGCGTCACTCAGAAAACTACAGGCCAATCAGAAGAGAGGCTCGTGAATATTAATTAGACAGGCCAAAATCGAACTGTTCAAAGCAGAGCTCCTGAGAAAGGAGCTGTAAAAATATATTTAGATGGTTTTTGGTACTTATACCGCAAATATATATTCTTAAGGACATCAAAACCTAAAATAAAACTCCAGAAAGGTGTATAATATGTGACCTTTAAAAGTTTAGGGTATCACAGTTTCCACAAAAATATACAGCAGCAAAAAATATAATCAACATTGATAATAAGAAATGTTTCTTGACCTCCAAATCAGCATATTAGAATGATTTCTAAAATATGAGAGAAGAAAAAAAAAAAAAATGTAGACTGGTAGTGCATATTCACAGTCCTAGCTAGAATACTACCAACTAATGGTATGGACAGCTATTTCCTCTCATGTAAGCACAGAGTGTACATGCTTAGCTACCTGTAGACCAGGGGTGGGGAACGTTGATCCTGGGGTGCCACTGTCCTGCAGAGTTTAGCTCCAACCCTGAAAAAAAAAAAAACCTACCTGTATCCTGAAGACCTTGATTAGCTTGTTCAGGTGTGTTTGATTAAGGTTGGAGCTAACCTCTGAAGGGACACCGGCCCTCCAGGATCAACGTTCCCAATCCCTGCTGTAGACAGTAGTCTTTGCTGTGTTTTCAAGCCCAACATTTTGGCCCAGATGCAGACGCCGCAAGGCTTTTGTTACCACTAGTTCTTTGATGACGGTTTGGTGTGTCTGGCCCTTAAGCTGGATGGCTTTGCGTGCATACACATACCTATAAGGGCTAGAAGTGGGGGTAGTGCTTCTGGCGCTGACAGGTGGAGTTCCAGGCTTCAGATCCATTCCACAACTGAAGAGCTTCAGATCCATCTCACACATCTAGAACAGATAAAGTATAAATGTTTTAATATGCCCCATGTATGATAAGCTTTTAGACTACAGTAATATTAAGGTTTTGGAAAATTCGGAACAAAAACAACAAATGGGTCAAATGAAAATTCAAATTCACCCTCAAACAGTAGGTGGTGAAACACAAAGCTACGGAGCCCGGGAAGTCACCTGTAGGAGAAAAAAAAAACAATCC